AAATCCCACCTCCAAACTCATGGCATTACCTGAGCTCAGGGTTTCCCAAACAGGAGTTTGTGAGCTAATAATTAATTATATTGAATGTCATATTAAAACTGAAATAGTGATATATTGTATTAAATTGCTATTGTCAAATCAAAGGCTATGCTGCTTCTCTCTAACTCCATTTCTGCGCTGAGTTTAATGTCCATTTCGGAACACAATGTGTGCTACAGTAAGTTCACGTTATTTACAAGAACATTTGCATAATTTCCTAGATGTCCCAGAAGTAGCGATATGAGATATTCTAACACAGTACCAATATATTACAAAATAATACAAAAACATTCTGACAAATTCATGCAACCCTATATTTATAAATTATTTTAAAATAAAAACAATTAAAAAAAACACTAAAACATTATTAAAGTACTGAATTATTAACTTAAAATCTCAGGTATTATACTTCAAGTAAATATTTTATGTTTAAGTGTTTCAGTTAATGAAGAAAAAAAAAAGATTTGGGAACCCTTGAGCCAATGTTGCTGAGTCAAGCTGGTCAAAAATACAGAGCAATATTTTGAAAGCGCCACAGAGTCACAGTGTTTACATTTTTGGGGGAATCAACCTATGAATGGCTTACTTATACTATACTTGTGTATATTAAATCTGCATATTAAACTGGGTCAACCTTAACTGACATTTAACTTGCAAAAATACTTCCAATCCAGAGACTTGTTAATTTTGCAGCAGTTTTAAAAACACTTATCTGTATTTAATATTTTTATCATCCTTTATTAATAAAGCTTTTTTTTTTACATTCTGTAGCTCTATGCACAATTTTGTTTCCCAAACTCATGGCATTACCTGAGCTCAGGGTTTCCCAAACAGGAGTTTGTGAGCTAATAATTAATTATATTGAATGTCATATTAAAACTGAAATAGTGATATATTGTATTAAATTGCTATTGTCAAATCAAAGGCTATGCTGCTTCTCTCTAACTCCATTTCTGCGCTGAGTTTAATGTCCATTTCGGAACACAATGTGTGCTACAGTAAGTTCACGTTATTTACAAGAACATTTGCATAATTTCCTAGATGTCCCAGAAGTAGCGATATGAGATATTCTAACACAGTACCAATATATTACAAAATAATACAAAAACATTCTGACAAATTCATGCAACCCTATATTTATAAATTATTTTTAAATAAAAACAATTAAAAAAAACACTAAAACATTATTAAAGTACTGAATTATTAACTTAAAATCTCAGGTACTATACTTCAAGTAAATATTTTACGTTTAAGTGTTTCAGTTAATGAAGAAAAAAAAAGATTTGGGAACCCTTGAGCCAATGTTGCTGAGTCAAGCTGGTCAAAAATACAGAGCAATATTTTGAAAGCGCCACAGAGTCACAGTGTTTATATTTTTGGGGGAATCAACCTATGAATGACTTACTTATACTGTACTTGTGTATATTAAATCTGCATATTAAACTGGGTCAACGTTAACTGACATTTAACTTGCAAAAATACTTCCAATCCAGAGACTTGTTAATTTTGCAGCAGTTTTAAAAACACTTATCTGTATTTAATATTTTTATCATCCTTTATTAATAAAGCTTTTTTTTTACATTCTGTAGCTCTATGCACAATTTTGTTTACGATTTCTCCCCTTCTGACAATCCTAGGTAATGTCCCGATTATCTTGGTGGTTCTAAAGATTATTTTATCAGATTTTCTTGTGGTGTGAGGTGTGTTAAGAGTGACTGAATCTGCTCGGAAGAATGTCGGAGGCGCCCCGATCGCGAATCAGAAATCCTGATGTGTGGGGGGAACCCCGAGGACAAACGCGTGTACGATCTGGAGATTATCACGTGAAACGAAACAATATCCAATTAGAAAGCGAGCTGACAGAAGACGGAAGCATAACAAATGCAGTCATGGCGCAGCACAAAAGGATTTGGACAGCAGAGACGGAGGATCAGCTTATCGATTTGTGGCAACAGCACGAGTGGTTATACAGCGTGTCCATTTTCTGTCAAAATCATTCCAAACACTATCATCACAATTTCTTCCTGCCTATCGTTCGCCATGTTTATTCTCAAGTCTCGAGAGATTTTGCGAGATTTCCCATGTTCACAGTCGGGACTCTGGTTGAAAATCTGTTGGTGTGTGGTGTGCTGTCTTTGTCACATCGCGGCACATAAGAACAAAATGGTTAAATCTAGGATTTTTTGTCCTCATGTTTGTGGTCTCTCCCATTTTGAAAATCTTAAAAGATTTTAAAAACCTTTTAGTGTGTACCCAACTTAAGTCGCCAGAGGAAGTGATTATGATATCTTGTTTGATCTGTAAGAAGAGATAACAAAGAAACAGTGATTACATAAACATCCTTGTGATTATGTAAAGAGTTATCAGTCACTAAGCACTTTACCAGCTGACCTGATATGAATAAAATATGAAAAAAGCCAAAAGTGGCTGATTTCTTGAGCAATATCACACAAGAATCCTAATTAATCAGACCACCCACAAAAAAGTTTCAGATGTTAAAAATGTATGTACTGTAGCAACAAGCAGAGTTATGTGACCAGTAAAAATAAGTAAATGTGAAAAATAAAAGTAATTATTTATTATTAATTTATCATTCATTAATAGATATTATTATTATTAATAATAATAAAATAGTTTAAATGATTTAAACAATAAATAAATTTATTATATAGCTCAGATAGGCAGCATGGAAGTAAATAATACATGAGAATTTATTATATTATTAATGTATTATTAAATATAAATATATCATAATTATTATTGTCTGTTATATACTTTAATATTTTTTAAAAAATCTAAATATTTTTATTATCTTTATTATGATATATTATTATTATATTTATAATTAATAATATCAATAAAATATTATTTTTATTACTTACCAAATTGATGTATTTATTAATTAATTGATGATAAATTATTATATGATATATTACTAATAATAAATCCATTATTAATTATTTGATTATTAATGATTTAAACCATATATTGTAATAACATCAACAATTATTGTTTTATTTACAGTTACAGATGTAATGTATTTATTATTAATACTTAAATTATATATAACTAATAATAATAAATGCATTATTAATTGATTGATTATTAATTATTAAACCCCATATTAATGACAATAAATATTATTTTTATTATTATAAATACAGTTACAACTTAGATGTATATTCAGTTACAGTTTTGATAGTTTGTAATTAAATAATAGGTGTTTACTAGGGGTGCTCCGATTGATCGGCTACCGAAAAAAGGCCGATCTCAAGCTGATGATGCTGCCGTGAGAAGGTTTGGCACGACACGCAGCGGCACCGTCTCAGTCTCTGTCCGGCGCAGGTGAAATAATTATAATGCTGAAGGTGAGGTACTTGATTTACATGTTTACTGTGAATATGAACTCACCTTCATATTTCTTCATTAAATAACTTATAAAGTCATTTGAAAACCTTTCACAAACAGCGTGAGTGAATCACTCTGTCTATAAGCCAGCTGCACAGTTGACACAGGAATTGTCACTTGCACAATCGAGGCAGTCACATTTGTGCATTAAAGTGAATAATATTCTGAATATTGTACAGTTGGTTTGATACCTTTATCTCAAACTGTCAGAGTTTACTTAAAGTGGATACAGTACATAAAACATATGAAAAATATGGTTTCAGTGCTATATATAAAAACAATAAAGGCATCATCTGAAAAAAACAAGCCTTGTGCATTAAAGTGAATAATATTTAGATATTTTTACAGTTGGTTTGATACCTTTATCTCAAACTGTGTCAGAGTTTAATTTAAGTGGATACAGTATGTACAACATATGAAAAATATGGTTTCAGTGCTATATATAAAAACAATAAAGGCATAAACTGAAAAACCAAGCCTTGTGCATTATAGGGAATAATATTCTGAATATTGTACAGTTGGTTTGATACCTTTATCTCAAACGGTGTCAGAGTTTAATTAATTTAAGTGGATACAGTATATAAAACATGAAAAATATGGATTCAGTACTGTATATAAAAACACTAAAGACATAAACTGAAAAACCAAGCCTTGTGCATTATAGGGAATAATATTTAGATATTTTTACAGTTGGTATGATAGCTTTAGATCAAATGGTGTTGTCGTTTAATGGATTTATATTATTGCATACATTAAAAATTGTAAAATTATTATAAAAAACATAAAATTGTAATTCCAAAAACGGAGCTTTGTGCGATAACAGGTATGTTTTTCCGAACATTTTAGTATTGGTTTTATATTATAATGTCACGTAGTTAAATTGTTTAATTAATTTAAATGGTTACTTTTTTTTTTAATTCCTAGAAATTAAGCCTTGTGCAACATAAAGGGCATATATTTATGTCTATCTGAGTTAGTTTGGGCTCAAAACATAAAAGCTGCAAAGAGTTTAATTAAGAGTATATTTAAAAGAGTAAAACCCGAATGTCTAATGAATGTCAAACATCAAACTAACTTGACCGCCGTGCGCTAATGCACACTCGCAGCACACACACATAATGTTGAGCAGTTTAATATATAAATCTAAAGTAAATGCAAAAGTAAAAAGCATTGAATAATGTGTTGCTTATATTTATTGTGTTTATGTCTGTGAAAGATTGTATTACTGTACTGTGTAAAAAAAGAATTGCAATGCTGAAAAAGCATTTTCAGTGACAATGTTTGGATTTGAAATAAAAATATTGGATAAATGTTGTGTTTGTGGTAAACAGCCACGGATCAGTAGTGGACTCCTGTGTGAAAGCACAGTCCGTGCTGCTTCCCCTCTCACAAGAGTCACCTAAGAGGGGAATTCTTCATATTTTCAAAAATGAAATTCAGGCCCTGAATAAATGTCTAAAAATCCTGATTTGAGTATCACTATAAATGGTTATAAATTATAAAAAGAAGGCTTTAAAAAGATCGGTATCGGTGATCGGTATATCAGCAGATACTGCTTTCTGTGATCGGCCTCAAAAACCCTGATCGGAGAACCCCTAGTGTTTACTGTTACCAAAGTACAATGAACTTCATCCAGCAGTTAGTTCTGTATAATTCATAACTCTCTGTTTGCTTCACAGGTCTGGGTTTCTGTTTCAGCTTCCAGCCCGCGGTCACTATACTTGGCCACTACTTTGTGCGCCGTCGTCCTTTTGCCAATGCGATGTCCTCGACTGGTACTGCTCTGGGTCTGTCTACATTGCCTTTTTTAGGTGACTATCTGCAGAGTACGCTAGGCTGGAGAGGGAGTTTTCTGGTACTCGGTGCTGTGCTGCTCAACTGCTGTGTTTGCGGAGCCGTTATGAGACCCGCCAGGCCTCGCAAGCCCAGAAAGTCAGAGGTGATGTGCAACAGTCCCAGACCCGCAGGCAAAAAGGGATGTGTGCTGGGGATCTTTCAGGGTTTAGCATCGTTCCTCAGAAGACACATGGCCTTTGACCTCTTCTGTAGTAACCCGCGATTTCGGGTGTTTTCACTGGGCATCACTTGGATGATGCTGGGGTTTGTGGTGCCGCTTATTTACCTGGTCCCGTATGCAACAGCTCACAAAATGGATCCAAGCAGAGCCGCCCTGCTGCTCTCCATCTTGGGCTTTGTCAACATCTTTGTGCGGCCTCCCGTCGGAGTGCTCTTCAGCCTGCCCTGGTTTAAAGGTCGACACATCTACGTTTTCTCAGCCGCACTCCTCATAAATGGACTCAGTAATAGTATCTGCTGCATTTCTGCCAGTTTCCCAGTGCTGTTAATCTTTGTCCTGACGTATGGACTGTCCATGAGCCTGGTAGGCTCACTGATGTTCACCGTCCTGATGGACACGGTGGAGATGAGTCGATTCCCATCTGCGCTTGGCCTGTTGTCTATCATGGAAAGCGTCACGCTGCTAATTGGACCTCCTCTCGCAGGTAACATGAAAACCTTGTGTTTTGAATTATGTGTTATGTCACTGCCTGAATGTGTATGACTCACAGAACTCAGCCCAGACATGATCTATAGGCATCTAAACTCCAGATAACACCCTTTAAAACAGACAGAGACTGTTGTAAATGTGGTCATGCTGGTATTTCAACATTTGTACCTGCCCTAGACTTGAGACAACAAGTATGGTTTCTATGGACAGCAGAGGCTTTCATCACTACTTGGGTAGATCCCTCCATCAAAAAAGTATACTCATATTTTGATAAATTTTTTTGATAGTGTTATGGATATGTAGATGTAAATGGCCATTGCCTGCAGTAGAACATTTGTACTACAATTGCCACAACACATGACCACTTATATTTGCTGAATATATCTCTCTTTTTAAATCTTGTTTGCATTTACTAATGTGTAAATGTGTTTCATTACTACACTACTTTGGAATTTATATATATATATATATATATATATATATACAAATACTTACCTACATATTACAAATGTATACATATAAGAAAATATATAGGTAAATATTGCTGTTTATTATTATGTATTATATAAAAGGTATTATATATAAGCCTTTTATGCTCACGAAAGCTTCATTAACTTTAAAAAATACAGTAAGAACAGTAATGTAATATTATTACAATCTAAAATAAAAGAAATGTAAAAAAATATATATCTTAATGTATTTTATTAATTTGGATTTTTTTTAACCCTCATCTACAGTAGGTTGAGCATCTGCCTTTTATTTTTTTATTTATTTGTATTATTTAAAATAAACTAGAGCAAGCAAACATGTCATTAAAATGACTAGTTACGGTACCTACAAAATTCAATTTCCATTATAAATTCATATGAATTTTACCCTACAATCTTGCTGTTAATAAAAAGTCAGTGCACAATGCATTACCTAAAAAGTCAACTGCTCTTATCCCTGGTTTAAATCTGGCTCAGATCAGGAAATGAACGTTCTTTCCTGTCACGTCTCAACTGTCCTGTCAAAGTAAAGTCCCGAAAAATCATTTTACAAATTAATTCACAGACATTCCCAAACATTCTTGTCACATAAAGAAGAAATCACTATGATCCAGAATTAAAATAAATGTGCGATTGTGTAGCTAGCTATCAGTGAGGAGGGTCTGTGCCTGTGTTTGAGTAAAAAGAATGGAATGTCTGCTCCATTATAACAGCACTAATCTGGATTTACGTGTTGGTGGGAGCGAAGGCTGTGATCTCAATCTGGTCAAACTGACCGTTCTTTCTCACACACAAATATCCTTAGTTGGGTCAAGCACTGCCTAGCACCTAAGTACACCTTTTTGGCTTAAGGCTCACCCGTATCCTACCCCACTCATGCATGACTCATGTTTTGGTGGTTATTTTCAAAATAATGATGATAGAGCAGATTTTTATTGTATTTGAACATATGTAGATCTTGTAATATATCTGTAATATCTCTGCACCTGTGTTCCAGGAATCCTTGTGGACCGTACTGACCAGTACACGTATGTGTTCGTGGCCTGCAGCATCTCGGTGGCCTTATCAGCTCTTTTCCTTATGGTTTCCTTTTACTGGCTGGACTGCCGTGATGCAGCCCAGAAGAACAATTCACCAGCGTCTGGGTCTCCAGCTAAGCCTGCAGTCAATTTGGCCATGGACTGCCAGTTCAGCAGTGTGCCTACAGATAGGGACAAGACAAATAACCCATCATCAGAGGCAGAAAAAATCACAAATGTATGACTATCAGGTATGACTATCGTGATCCTATCAGGTACAGAAATGTTTCTTTGCCATTTATTAGTATCATAGAATGTGCTGTTTATAACTGTTTTATTTCAGCATCAAACCCTGGTTGTTTTGTACATTGTTATATGACACTGGTTTTGTAAACATCCTGTCTCACATCACTGGTTTGCCTTATACAGTATATTAGTGCCATGGCACTACAATTACATCCGTTAATGCAGTCCTCTGAATTCAAGTACATATTACAAACACTTCTTCATTCCCGATCTAAATGACAGAATGCTGAAGTTGTTTGCCAAGGAAATTAAGCTATTTCAAGTCAGGAAATGTTAATCTCATGCTTATAATATTCAATTTACCCATTTTTGCCAGTTACACTACTCTTCAACAGTTTGAGGTTGATAAGATTTTTGAAAGAAGTCTCTTATGCTCACCAAGTCTGCTTTTATATGTTTAAAATACAGTAAAATCAGTAATATTGTGAAATCTTATTACAATTTTAAATAACACTTTTCTATTTTCATATATTTTAAAACGGAAATGATTCCTGTGATGGTAAAGCTGAATTTTTAACAGCCATTACTCTGGTCTTCAGTGTCATATGATCCTTGAGAAACTATCTGGTGCTCTAGAAACATATCTTCTTATTATAAATGTTAAAAGCAGTCATGCTGCTTACTTCTTTTGATTTTATTTTTGTAAATAGAAAGTTTAAAAAACAGCATTTATTTGAAATAGACATTTTCAGACTTTTAATTTAATGCATCCTTGCTGAATAAAAGTATTAATTTATTTTCAAAAATCTTACTGACCTCAAATGTTTGAACAGTTCTATATATCACACTGTGTTGTTTTAGACACTTTTTGTGTCATAAGACCATGCACTGAAAGACCTGACCCTTAAGGAAGATTGTTGATCTGTTGCATTTACACATCCAGTTCCCAAAGGGTAGGAAATGTACTGTATAATAAATCATTAGAAATTCTTTTGCTATTATTGCACATAGGCTCATAAGGTTTTCTCAGTTCAAGTACAGACATTCTTTAACCACGATTTAAAACTCAGCCTTCATGTTTTCTGGTTCTCAGCGAGTGCTTGAGTATGACGATACTTAAATATGTGCCTTTGAGTTTGTTTGTTAGTTTCATAGGTTAGTACTGAATAAGATTGTGTTTGAACTAAGGGTGCAAAGGGCCTATTTTTATTGAGTGTCATGAATTACATGTCACATTTCACTTCTTGCTGTTGTTGGTCGTCGTAGTTGCTCTGTTGTTTTGTTACTTTGCCAAAGCAAATGACCAGCTTATATAAGCAGAAAAGGCTACGAGCCCCCTGAGAATCATTTATATCACAATGTATAATACAAAGTATTTACTACAATAAACAAGTTTTGTACTCAATTTAAATTTAATAATAAAGATGTAAGCAGATAAATGCTCTGTTTTTTTTCTTTTTCTATCAGTAAACAAGCATAATTAGGTTTGGTTTTTTATTTATTTTTATTTTACCTGGGTAACCCGTCTTCACTTTCTGGTTAATGTTTGCAGAAAAGTCCAACATTTGTGTGAGCGTTCCATAGATTTGTTTGAAGAAACATTCTATCAGACAAACAATGTGTCAGACAAAGTGTTAATAAATTGAATTCTGTTATCGCAAGCAAATTATAACTGTGCCTTGAAACGTTTCCTCAAATAGAATGTAAAAAAATAAAGTTTAATAAATGCCTATAATGATATTAACTGTTAGTGTCAGCTTCATTGTTAAAATCCTCCTTTACACACTTGCTCACGAGAGAAACGAAGGGCTGCTCATTCATGAAATCGCCCATATAATTCATGATATTTGCTAAACAGCGCTCTCTGCTGGACACTGTGAGAACAAACAGCGTCCACTGCTGGTGAGTCGACAACCGACGGAGCGTACAACGTCATGATAAGCACTACATACAGTAGCAATATGAGAGAACGTGTTTAGTGCACGCGACCTCGTTTTAAGGAAACGATGCGGTCATTAAATGCATTTTCTAAATCGAGTCTTATTAACGCGTAATGAAACTGATAAACAGCTTTGACCCCGCCCACAAGTGAAAGTGAAACCAAAAGTGATCTTGCGGCAAAATGCAACGAGAGCAACTAACCTAATGGTAAGAAGACTTTATCTGTTTATGTTACTTAGCGCTTATTTCTTATATTTAGATGCACTAGAGAAGATTGATGCTGCTGAAAACATTGTAAACCAGCCTAAGCTGGTTTGTCTTAGCAATGGGTTTTTAGTTTTTAGCATCTGCTAAAACCCCTCAAAAACCAGCCAACAGACAGTGTTGGGAAGTAACTAGTTACATGTAACGGAATTACGTAATTTAATTACAAAATAAAAGTAACTGTAATCAGTTACAGTTACTGAGAAAAAAATGTGTAATTAAATTACAGTTACTTATGAAAATTTGAAGGATTACAAAGGGGGGTTACATCTGTTTTTTTTCAGACACACTCCCACATACAGATTTAATTGATTTCTTTCATAAATTGCAGTGGGTGCTCTAAAATATGAAACACCAATGTTTCAGGAGTTTATAACATGCTTATTTGATAACTCTTTTATGGATTTATGTAAATGATTTATTTTTTAAGATTAACTTTTTTTTTTTCAAAGGCATTGTTAGATTCCAGTGTTTCCTGTCATAGCTATGCAGAGATTTGATTTCAAAAACAGTATCATAGCTATTAAAACTATTTCTTGTTATGATTTTAAATCTGTATTTAACCTCAGAATGATCTTAAAGTAAGTCTGATTTTGTGGTGGCTGGGCTTCAAATGGGACATCGGATGCCCATATTCCACAAGTAGGTATCCTCCTGACTTCCAAGGGACGTTACATGTCAGTTTTAAATCTGGATGTCCTGTACAGAGCACATTCAGGGCTTTTCAGAGATACCAAATGACTGGATGTTTCACCATGACCACTCCCTCTCTTTGGTCTTTAAAAATGGCTGACATTCATTTAGTGATCAAATGTAACACCCTAATGGAAATATGATAATATTTTGTAATTATCATTTAAATCAGACTAATTGACAAATTGTTTCAAATCAAAGTATGACCTTCTGTTATGAAACAGGACATAAATTTCCATGTCCACTGTCCAATGTCCACTGTAGAGGACACCAGGACTTAAAGCATGTTTATTACACATTTTGGGAGACAACAAATGAATAGAGAAAAAATTATATCAATATTCCTATTAAATATTAGATATTATTATGAAAATCCTCCCATTATTGCACTTATTTGTTCATTCCATGTTGCCCCAAAAACACATTAATATGCTAATTAGATACAGTTTATAGATACATTTTATATAATGGAAAAACTCTTTTATGGCCATTTACTTATTTGTTCATTCCATGTTGCCCCAAAAACACATTAATATGCTAATTAGATACAGTTTATAGATACATTTTATATAATGGAAAAACTCTTTTATGGCCATTTTACACACATTTTGCATAAAGAAAAATGTTTTTTAAAAATATCTTTCATAACATAGTTGAGAATCATCTTTATATAAAGTTTGGTATAAAAAAAAAAAAAATTGATTTCTTATTAAAACAAAAATCCCACTCTTTTTGCCTTTTCATGTCTATTCATGTCTTCTATTCTTATTTTTTTTAAAGTGGACTTTTTAAAGTCCCGATGTCCTCTACAGGGGACATGGCATAACATATGAATAAAATATAATTTTTCAAAAATTTTCTTATGCTCTAAACAATGTAATGATATGACAAAATACTAAATTCACAAAACTGTTTTTTTCCTGGTAGTCAGGAGGGTATGATTCTTTAGGGTCTTCTTGAAATGGTCTCAGTGTCCGTGTAAAACAACACCCTTTTAACCTGGTCAAAAACAGCTTTGTTCACAGCGACTCGTTTCGTTGCATATCTCTTTACATGATAATGAGCTCTGCTCACCCCGCCCCTCTCTTCCGTGGAAGAGCAAATAATCATAAAAAAAATAAAGTGTGAGACTTACTATTTCTGGAGGTGCAGCTGGGTCACGAACAATGGGTACTGATCCATCCTTGAGTTTGAACTTTTTAACAAAATTTGCGTTGAATTGTCCCTCATTCAGAAAGCACACTAGAGTAAAATGATTTGCGCAGACATAAATTAATTTAGGTGTATTCATTAGCGCATTTCCATCAAAATCAAAAGCTAATCCACTGCGTCCTCAGTGGCTCTGATGTCTGGAGAAAATTAGGACTCTTATATTCCTCTACATCTAACAACAAAACACCTGCATTGCTTACAAGACATTGTTGTCGCTACAGCTGCTCGAGTGTGGAGAAAATGACGGACATTGTACAACTGGCTGAGGGTGGAAATATGCTAATATGGGACAGTACGTCAGCGGTCGTGAGAGGGGCCTGAGCAATATGACATCATATTGGCTTGATAACTTTAGATTAAAAAAAGAAGTGAATGTATTTTTTATCATTGTAGAGTGGTTGTGTCTACGCACTACCAAGACACATTTATATGCAAATGAAGATATTTTGCATGCAATGTCTTCTTTAAAATTGTAATATTATAATCTTAATTCAAGTGATGAAGGATTTTGAAAGTCTGACAGTAATCAGTGTTCAGTACTACTGTAAGGTTAACCCTGCCTGGTTTACAAGCTTGAAAATGATTAACAATTTGAAACATTAGAAATTTAGAAAAGTAATCAAATCAAATCAGCTACATTATACTTTAATAAAGTAATTGAAAAGTTACACTACTTTAAGTAGGGTAACTTGTAATCTGTAACCTATTACATTTTCAAAGTAACCTTCCCAACACTGCCAACAGACTAGTGTGACCAGGCTTTGAAACCATTCCAGACTGGTTTATCTGATTCATCTTTCTCAGTTTTAAGATGTCCTCAAAGGCTCACCCCATCTATAGAACTGCAGCAGTGCATTTCTGCCTGTTGTGCTGTGATCTTTTCATCTGGGCTTGTGTGTGGGCTACACTGCTGTGGTTGGATGGAGAGGGCAGTCTGGATCTACGGTGCCTGTGGGCTCTCAGGACCATCAGCTGCGTTGTGCTTTATTCATTGAGCACAATTTTTACGGACACCAGTATTCAGCCTCTCCTGAAGCGATGGATAGCCCTACTGAGCTTTCTACCTCCAGTGTTTGACAGTATGCAGACAATGAGACACGGGACCGTGAGAGGCTTCAGTCCTGTTCCTGATCCTGGCATGGTGATCCTGAGCTCTGCTACATCTACTCTCATATATATTGTGTGGGAGATGGCCTTCCCACATGGTACATCATCTAAGGGCGCCAGAAACCAGAAGATGAAGAGGCAGTGCTCCTAATGAGGGTCATTCGCTACTCCAGGCCTGACTATCTTCGTCTAGGGGCAGCCTTCCTTTTCCTCAGCC